AGTTTCTCATGTAGTTTAGCTGAAATAGCACATAGATTAGCTAAAGAATTGGCCTTTATTAGTTTTTTGGTTGCGCGCGGGTTCCCAGCGAGGACCAGTAAATTCCCATCGCGTAGAATCGAGATCGAGTCGATGTATGTTGTAATGCTATCTAGAGCTTTTTTTATAGCAAAAGGGCTAATTTGGGAAATTGTTATTCGAGCATCGGTTGAAGAAATAACAACATATTTTTTATCAATAGGGATTATATCGCTGATCGGCAACACCGGAAAATCTGATTTTTTACTTTTTTTTCTTTGGGGGGATGTATCACTTAATAGATAAAATCTATTCGGGTTTTTGTCTGGCGGCCCCAGGGCCATTATGCCTTATTGTTGTCTATTTATTATTATTTTTGAAATAACCACTCACTTGAAAAGGTTTGGGAACTGTGCAAGAAGGTTGGGAACTACTAAAGAAAAGTGTCAAATGTTTTCAATTTTTTTATTTTTTTTTTATTTTGCTTTTTTGTTTTCTATTTTTTATTATATATAGACGAAACAAAAGCACATACGCGATATCCGCGTTAACCAGTTTTAGCAATAACACTGAAAAGACAGAAGTTAAATACACAAAAACCCCGAAAACACCGAAACAATTGAAAAAACGCAGACGAATAGAAAACACGCACTACACTGAACACAAGTCGACTCGTCTATATGCACTGTATTATAATAAAAACTTATTTTAAAAGAAATTTTTTATGTAATCCAGTTGTTTAATATATACTATATATTGTTTGACGTGATGTTTCACGAGAAAGAACTTATCAATGACTTCATATTTATGTAGCAATCGGACTATAATGAAAAATAATTTTACTTTTTTGATCAGAAACAAATTTTTTGATTATTATTATTTTTTTGAGAAATCTATCTCCTTCAATTGAAGTTCGAACTATACGCTGCTGTCCCCCTCCCTTCTACAAAATTTCTCCTTTTAATCCTTTTCAAATTACTTTATTGAACACGGTAGTTTCATTTATAACAGTAATTATAGTAATTTGAGCTCATCATAATTTAATAGAAAGAAACCATTCACAAACTCTAAACGTAAGCAGACCGGTCACAAACTTCTTAGGTTAAATTTTTATTTTTTTCATTGTTGTTTTGTGTATGCCATTCCAGACACATTTCATAAAATTCCTGCTTCTAGCAGGTATACTTGGCATTATTTGCCCATAATAATTCGCATCTTATCGCGCCAAGTATCAAACATATAACATTAGCTATCATTTGCTCAACGTAGCCACAGATTCTTGCGACTAACGCTTAAATTAAATAAATAGCTGAAGGTCATGTATACGCATCTGGTCACTTCCCATAATTCTTGGTATTGAGTTCTATCTACCAAAACTATGTGTGCATTCCAATAATGTACCTGCTTACTTTTTTTTATACCCAATTGCGGAGCATGGGGGTATAATTACTTTGTTGTAATCTTTGCAACATCCGTATGTTTGTCTGTCTGTATGGATGTATGGATTTATGTTGCTGATACTCTCCTGGTCACAGAAATGAAGACATGAGCTTCAAATTTGACACAAACATGAGAAATTCTTGCAGCCAATTTGGTATTGAAAATGGCCCAAATCGGACAATCATACGCCCACAGCTTCTCTAAGCAAAAATTTGCGTGCCGTAAAAACGAAGATATCGACTTTAAATTTGGTAGAAACATTGGAGCTTTTTCCACGTAGACTGACATAGAAAATGGACTATATTGGTCAAAGCAGAAGCCCCAAGTGGAGTGTAACTGAACCCAACTCCGCTTTTCTGAACAAAAGTTTTTGGGTCAGAAATTATAAAACATAGGAATATGAAATTTTTCACATTTACTTTAGGAAACAGTTTGCTCTTTACATACAAAAATGGCAAAAATCATCCATGCAAAGTTACAAGTGATTAACTTTTCTTTTTCACTGTATTCGTCAAAGAAGGATGTATTATCTGCCTAAAAATGGATTAATTTCAAAGTAAATATGGTGAACACCGCGACCTAATGGACTAATTTTTTTTTTTAATAATATTAGCGATATGGGTATAACATAAAACGACTTGGAGAATAGAATGTGGCAAACTGAATGCGTTAATTCTAAAATAATTTTCAGAACCGTCAGGGCTTTTATAAATGTTTTCTTAAAAATAACTTTGAAAGGACTTGGAATGTAGAATGCGATAAAGATTTGAATAGTGGTGGATACGCGAAATTCGGTCTGCGCCGAATATAACTTTCCTACTGGTTTTTACTTTTTTGGCTTTTTTTACCTACTACCCTTAAGGAAAACAAAAATTTTGAAAATTATTCAGTGCATTCTTTACGTAAAGATACATTTTCCGTCTGTTAGCAATTCACCTAAAATTTCGGAGGCTGCCTTAGTACTAATAGTAAATACTGGTATGATGAAATGAATGGTAATGGATATACAAGATTCAACCCTAACCGAGTACAATGTTCTTATCTTCGCTCTTTTTCTTAACACTAACGTTAAAGAGTAAAAACATTATAGTCGCAGGATAGACCGTAAAATGCCTTGTACCACTATATATACTATACTATATAATACTAAAAATTATTCCCATTATGTAAAGCCATACTTTCCTCGTACGAACTCAAACATGTAGATCGACCTGATCAAATTGGAGATTTAGCTGTAATATCAAATCGCTATTATGAACAAATTTTCACGAAAAAATAAAAAATATCAAAGCTTTGCCATAAAAAAGCTTTTATGGTCTCGTTTATAACAGAAAGGCTTCAAATTGAAGTAAGTGTTAATTTATATGGGCGAGCAAGGTGAAAAGCGAAAGTAAATGACTACAGTACAATATTGAGAATATCTCTAAAAATACAAGTATAATATAGGTTGAGAATATCTCTAAAAATACAAGTATAATAATGAGAATTTCCTCGTATATTATACCTGCATCCTATCTATGTAGAAACGGGAAAAGTTGACCACGACCTCCGAATATTACAGAGTGCCGAACTTAATTTTTTCCGTTCTCACGGAATATCGTGTTGCAAGTAGGAAATCAACACTTATAAAGTTCATCCCTTAGCAGCTCAGTGTAGCTTAATAATGCGGGATTTTCAGTTATGCAATAGTCACTAAGAAAAGTAATACCATGGTCGATTGACTAGTCATTGCAATTCACTAAGTGATTTAGTTAGGTCTCAACTTAACTCGAACAGCGTGAAGATTATACGAGACCACATTTCTTCTCGGAAAAATTTTTATTCCGTAGTTATTTGGATGGTGGATAGATTGGCATGGTTAAGTCATGAATATTTTCTTAACCATAACTGGCTGTTTTGACACAAATTTAAAGTCCAATTTTTTTTTTGTTTGAATATTATTGGAACACTTGCAAAGAAATCATTGGAAGCCGAGATAGAGATGTCTCAAGCAAATATAAAGAGCAAATTGACATATAGTATAGCTCGAACAGCTGTTTATCTTCAGTCGGTCTAAGTATCTACACGGATTGCGAATATTTTAAACAGGGCTTTAAATTTATATTCAGTTTGATTTCACAATTTTTGACTGTCATTTAAAAATAATCTAGCGACGTAAAAAAATGTCAAACCTTTGGAATTTCTCTTCCTTAAGTGCTTTTTAGCTTTATCATGAAATTCTCACCTATCCATCAGATTTGCATTACCAGCATGCATACGCCGAAGGTTGTTGAGCTGCTGGGTGGTCGGCTGCGATTGAAGCAGTGAGGTAGATGTTTGTATATCAGCTTTATTTAATACAAGCGGTTTAAGGCTTGTAAACGTTGCAGACGGCGAGTCGTAACGTAAATATTTTTTGTGTGAACTAGAAATCCTAGCCACATCACTATCACTACTTTCGCCCCGGCCAGTGCCGTTGTTGTCACCATCCACTAGCACCGCTGATAAACAACGATTTGCATAAATTTGCTGGCACTGAAGGTGGTGTTTCTCATATTTATTGTTAAAGTTGCAATTGTGATTTGTAACAATCTCGTATTTTTTGAAGGTGTTATTCGAGTCAAAGCTGTAGCATTGCGTCTGTTGTTGCTGTGGATGGCGTGCTAGAAAACGTGCGCCCAAACTGTAACAACACAAAAATCCATTACAAATAAACCATACATAGAATGGCATAACGCATCAACTTTTTATAACTTGCATTACCTGTGGCGTCTTTTAATTTTTTTGCGAACGTTTACAACACCCGAAGCTGTCTACCCCCTTCAAACCTATATAATACTCTGCATTTTATTGCTTAATATACTTCTTCACCTTCTACTTTCGCGTCATGGAATATGAAGAATTGCACTTTGCTGCCATACACAGGTTCACTTACATTACATTAAGAACTTTCATAAGTGGAGGAAGAATCAAACGGGAGAGGAAGTGGTCCAAGCGTGATCAAGTTAATTTTCTTGTCAAAAAACAAAGTTGGTAGTTAAAGGCTTACTCTTCGTAGGAGCTCTTATACGGCCCAAATATACCCATCGGTTTTAAATTAAATTAGTACATTAAAAGGCGAAATTACTATTTTGTTACAACTTTCATCGTACAATATCAGAAAATACTTTTTTACTGTATCTAGACACTCCCATTTTAAATGCGAGCGTAAAGGTGACGCTTATCGCAGTCAAACCTAGAAGAAGGTCAAATACTTCAAGATTCGTGCGATAATTCACGTTAAGTTGCTCGACATCACTATAGTACATATGGCTGAAGGCGATCAGAAATAATTCATCCACGTCTCCGCTATTATATAAAGATTTTACCCAGAATTTTTTTTTGTATTTACGCCAGCGACGGTAATGCTTCTAGACTATTCCCATTATCAAAATCAAAATGACTAAATTGCCGCTACTCATCTCCTTTTGTCTTTCATATATATCCTTATAACCCTATTAAAGATTACTAGCTAATTTTAAATAGCTCCAGCTCACCTTACCAGGGATAATTAAACTTGTCTTACATTTTTCTAAAAAAGCACTTTTTAACTTTTCTTTCGCTCTTTATTTTTAAAAACCGTTTCTCAAAGAAATTTTTCGCTTCATTAATTTTCTTAATAAAATAAGACTAATGCCATGATTAAAGGCACGGATATATTATGTTTTGAACTACAATTACATATACATGTGCAAGAAAATAACACATTCGTGCATAACCTTAAAGAAAAAAAATTATGTTCCCATTTTTAACCTCTTTGCAAATTAAGACATTTTACGTAGAGCAGTTCTTGGTCAAAATGGATGGAACGTTTTGAGATGGTTCGACGTTTTCTGATTGCGAAAATAAAAAGGTGAATCCTCTATTTCTTTCAATGTAGTAGATGCGAAGAAACGCTTTCCCAAATTTCAATTACATAAACTTGACTGAAAATTGTTGAGGTATTGTAATACTAGGAGTGTTTGGCTTCCTATATCTTCAAGTGGCTCAGTGCGAAAAACTGAATTGTACATCGTGTGGTTTGATAAAAAAATCCTACTTGGCCGTGATTGGTTGTCAGCCTTGAAATAGAATTGGAATAAGATTTTAAAGGACTATAATGCTGATAATACATTGAATGTAATAATCTCACCAAACATTCAAGCTGACTTATTGAAATTAATCGCAAAATACGAGAATATTGTTGGTAAATCTGCTGATAAAATAAAAGATATACAGGCTAGAATTGGAGTTGAAAATACCTCTAACCAGCGTTCTTAAAACCGCGCCGAGTACCATTTGCATCAAGTCAGTTATCGAAGATGCAATAAACGAAATGTTTAATGAAGGAACTTTCAAAAAGTTGTGCCAAGTGGTTGCGCCACTCCGATCGTGCTTATAAGGAAAAAACGTAGTTTCTATTGAAATTTATAAGAATAAAACAAAACTAGTGCATGAGAATAATAATAGAAAGAAGAAATATCCTTGTCAATTATCTTTCTTCTAAGTAAAATGGCAAAAATTGTGTATATTCATAATAATTTTATATACATATAACACCACCAATGTTTAAGAGCAAAAATTTTTCATTTTTATTTATTTATTTATTTTTATGGACGGTAAGAGCGTAATATATATAACTTTTCCCAACTATTTTTAAACATACTTATCAGCCTAATTTCGCAAGTTACATTATTCAGGTCATGATAAAAAAAGAGCAAGATTTGCAATTGCCAAATAACAGTCACTAATTATGTTGATTTACATTTTTCGTTTCGAATTTATTCGTTTCGATTATCTTTATGTTCCAAAATCTGTAACATCGGCATTTCCGAATGATTTTATTTTTCTTGTTATTGTTATTCTTTTAGTTATAAGTACCACATATAAGCCACAACTAAAAATAAAGATAAGGGCATTACTTCAACCATTACAGTACAAAAATAGTGCATTCATTCTTTTTAATTGAAAATTCTTTTTATTGTTCTGCTGGGACCTTTGCTGCCTTTGACGAGGCAGGCCAGAGCATAATGTATAATAAAGGAAAACTCTTTTTTATTATCCAAAGAGTAATATACTGATATTGTAAATGCGGTAAAAAAATTGTACAAATTGCCAACAATACCGCTCTGATCTATCAAAGGCGCTTGCAAATTCCTGGGTACGAGCGAGAGCCTCCATTTGAACGCGTTCACCTACACTTTGACGGACAGTTTAAATGTTTTTACTTCTTAATATTGGTTCAAGCATATACCAAATGACCGAGAGTCCGTGTGATGCTCAGCATAAATGCAGAGTCGACTATTTAGAAATGCCGTCAACCTTTTGCCGTGTTAGAATTCGTCAGATATTAGTGAATGACCACGCTCTACGTGAAATGAATTTCAATGATCAATCAGTTACAAATAGACAAGCCGAAAGATACGTTCGAATGTTTAGAAACAAATTGAAAACAATTAAGTGCAAAAAAACAGGAAATACATACAGAGTTATGTAAAAGTTTGTTAGCCTACCGACAAAATGCGCATGCAATCACTAGAACCTTTACCAATAATGTCTGGTTGTCGAGAATAGAACTAATGATACAAGAAAATTTCTCAAAAACAAAAATGTTTACAGAATCGAAATTTAACGCGTGGAGAGAGTTGTAGCCAATTATCACTTCTCAATAGAAAAATGGAAATCTTGCGGCGTCATGAAAGCGTTAGGAAAACGCTTTTCATCCGCCTGAGTAGCCGAAGGCGAGGAATCTCGACTAGCAAGTCAATGGTCGTGGGTTCGAATCTCAAGTGCGTTTTTAATAATAAAAGCCGATAGCCTTAGATGCTAGTGCTTTTAAGAGTTTAGTCTTAGAATTTATTTCTCTGGCGAAATTAATAATAATAATAATAATAATAATAATAATAATAACGCTATTTCATAAAACTAGGCGATCAGCCTAAATGGAAACGTCACCTAAATTAATTAAAGCACACGATTTATCATATCATATACTTTTTGTTTACAGACGAAGGATCCTGCACCTACAATATCCAAGTATCTTCACGTCTTCAATACATACCTCTAGAAAGTCTGAAAGGTTTCGCTATTCTATTTTTAACTTAATTGGACTTATGTCTATATGTGTATACTTATGTCTCACAAACCATAAAATAGGTCTGGCAACGTTAATGAACCAAGCGCTGACTTTCCTAGTAGCTTAAAAAATAAGTATTCGCTTACTCATTCTCAAAGAAGTAAGTACACTTTAGTCGTAATAAAGTGTTTAAACTCAATGGCTTAAAGAAAAGTTTGTGTTTTGAAAGAATATTTATGACAGAAGTTTTCAACAGTAATCCTCTCGAGAAAAAATATTCACATGTAGTAGTATGCAAAGTAAAGTTTCACTAATTTTTGCCGGGAAATATTGAGAATCGCCAAATACTTATATGTAACAACTTTTTAGGTTATATATGAACTGGACGTAAAAATTCACCGCCCATGCAGAGAGGCGTGTTTCGGAAAAGGATGTTGAATACGTATAATAAAAGATAAATGCAGCTCATATTTCCCATCCGCACAAACTTAGCAAAATTTATACGGCGTATAATAAGCTTGTAACAGCAATGTCTAATTGTGAGTATTTTACCCTTTTTTTTGGAGTACTTCTCTTAAAAGAATTGTTATGAAAACAAAGTCTATATGCGTCAGCAAGATATAATTTTTGACATTTTTATGATGAAAATAGGTGCGTCATTGTGTTAGGCGAAGCGGTGCAGAATTGTTAATGATTGCCCATGCATGACTATCATTCTTTATTTATATATATATATACGCTACAAAGAAAGCCTTGCTCGCGCGAAATATTGGTAAATTAGCTGTTTAGCTTTTTAGTTATTCACTTAACCATGTTGTATAGATGCGAACGTCTGTTTATTAATTAAAGTTGTGAATTATTTAAAAATTTTCAGAGATGCAATAAGAAATGTGGATTTTTTATAGATATTCAAATTTATTCTGATTAAATTACGATGTTTTAAAAATAACAATGATTACCTACCTGCTAATGAAAGGAAAGACTTGACAAGCTAACTGTTACCCTAATAGGAACACCATTTGGATCACATATTGACAAATTTTTAAATAGCTGCCGAGTGTTGCGGCATTACTTTCGAGTTGGAATCTATTAGGTTCTTGCCTGTATTTTGAACACTTTTTCGTTTGAAACAGATGTTTGTTGATATTAATCAAAATATTTCCTACGACTTTCTACAACTTTTCCCCATGTTCTTGGCAACTTGGCGATACCGTGTCTCATTGTCATGAGGCAGTTGATTCATCAGCTGCTAACCTATTCGAAAGTTTTTTGAGTTGTAAGTTGAGTTTTTTGGTCCTCCAGAGCTATTGATATTAATATCACCAATTTTATACCGTTGAAATCAAAACCAACAAATAGAATATGATGGAGCAACAACACCATAACCTACTAAAGATGTTTGATGGGCTTCGACAAAAGATTTCTTCAAATCAAGTAATAAAAGTAACGAATGTCGAAAATGCAGTTTTGAGGGTTCCATGATTAGCGTCCGTTTACACTGAATAATTTACTATATGGACAACTGTTATTTTTGCGAAAATCATTGAATTTAACTGATGTGTACATTGATACTTCGCACTACTTTTAACGTTTCAACCAATAGACGTTGGTAATCCAGATATATGCTAGCTCCTGTTATTTTCATCGCTTGGTGCTTACGTCATATTAAAACAAATAAGAAATATTTATCTTCGGTATAAAATGATTAATATTCCGACACCAAGCGAATACGTGGAGAGATACAAATTTTTTTTTGTTTTTTGCCTTCACTTACCGGCGAAATAAATCACTTTCGAGATTCTCCGCAGCAAAACGTGCTTTTTTTCGTAACAATGGTATTGTTAGGGCGTAAGTTATTATCATCATAACCATGGGTGCATAAAAGGCAACCAATGAACCAAATACAAAGAATGCACGATTATTTATAACACAGACATTCACTTGCGGCATGATATTCTTCTCGTTCACAAGTCCTAAAAATTAAAAATAAAAAACTTCTTATAAGCTGATAGCATTCGTTTTATCCAAAATTTTCATCAACGGATCTTATAAGATGTTGTTTCCTTAATTACTGTGAAATTCGCAGTCGACAAAGCCAGTTAAGCTGTCCATATTCCCGTTGCGGATTGAAATAATTATGTAATACATATTTAACACACGTCCTGAGCAAACTTTTGCAAATTAATAACAAAACATGCTTTTTCAAACAGTACAAATATTGAAAGGTGCATTCCTCATTGATGTTCTGTAAACATGTATTGGACAATCGGAAGATATGAGCGGTGTAAGTGATAACATGTTTGGTGCGTTGATGCAAGCCGTTTAGAAGAGCTCACGACATGCTTGCTCTTCATTCACCGGGAAATTAATTTTTGAATAGACAGAAGTCACAATATGCTAAACCTTGAACACGGGCACCATCATTGTGGCTTCTTCAGTTATCACGAATATTTAAAAAAAAGGTTCTTCGCTTTGTATACAGAACAACACCGAATATTTTCCAACTTATGCCTGTTATTATTAATTTTTAATAAACAATTGAAATATATAGAGAATAGTATGTTTAGCGAAAATTATATACCGAATTTCTATTGAAACGACGATCTCGCATTATAGCGAATATTCGAATTATTATAAATAAATTTAAAATTTCAAACAGCACTTACTGTTGAAAAGAATCAAATATGGTGAGACGATAACCATCTTACCTAAAACAGTGATGGAACTGGACACAATCATCGCCATTAACCACACAATGGCAATTTTCATTCCCGCTAAGCGTTTCGTAGAGCGATGTCTTGAACCAAGGGGATTACGAATTCCTAAATAACGTCCCAAACTAATAAAACACATATGCAGTATGCTTGAGGAACAGGCTAGTACATCACATGTAACATAAATATTGCACCAGGTAAGACCCAATGGCCAGTAACCTAAAAAAAGGAAAACAAACGAATAAAAACAAATACAATTTTTCACGAACGTTTACTATGTAAAGTTAAAAACGCGAATTATTTATATAAATTTTACAACTTTTTCCTTTAAACTCCTAAGAATCTGCCATGGAAAACAGAAACTATATTGAAATATAACATAATATTTCATTTTCTCCATCCACCACAACAATACAAATTTTCTTACGGTCAAATGTATGGAAAACTTTATTCGCTAATAATAACCGGTCTGGGCAAATAATTTAATATATCCTTGGATTTAAATAATTGTTTTATGTTCAAACACGCGCAATTAAGTTATTCTTTTTATATTTAAGATATTCTTTTTATATTTAAGTTATTCTTATTTATTTATCTTATTCTCATTTATCATCACAATTCAATATTGTTTAATTTATACATGTTTGAATGTATACAAATATTACAAATTTTTATATATTTTTGAACTTAGCATATTGCACCAACAGCGCAACATTATGGTCATATGAAATAGCGTAGCTTTTTGCATTACAACTAGGCTAAGGAAAAAGTCGGGCAAGGATATTGAAACGCATAGAAAGAATTACGAAATAGAGTACATTTTGAATCTTTTATGGAAGAAACACTAAATTAATAGGTCCCCTGGGCTTCTAATATCACCTAATAGTCGTTAAAACATTTATGATTAAGACTCGTAACAAGAGGATTTAAATGAGCCACCAAAGCACCATGGTTTGCCTCATCTTGAGTTTTTTTTTTTTTTTTTAAATAGAAGAAGTTATTCTGCACAACAATGTAGACATTTTTCGTCAGCTTTGTTGACATATTTTGTATTAGCAAAAACACATTTCGCAAAAGCAAAGGTTTTCTCTAATTGTCTCGTCACTACTTTTTAACCGGATCTTATCATATGTTAAAATAAAATATTGGTTCATCTTGCGACTCTGTTTAGCCTATTGCTTGCGTACATAATAGTGGGAAAATTGTTACACAATAATTGAGTCCTTTTTAAAAAACATATTTTTGCAAACACCTTTTGTTTTTTACTTCCAGTTGATATACCAAAAGCAAAAAGTTGAAATCTTTTGTGGTAAAACACTTGTACAATCGGAAACCCTTCATTTACATATATTAATTGTATAAAGAAAGCAACTTTTGCGTAGACGTTGTCAAAGCAAAATGTGATATGCATAATTGCTACATACTATATAATACATTGGTCAATAAGCTCCGAGACTAAGTAAGAAAATTCGACTTCAACACCGTCTTCTCCAAATGCGATGCAATCAATCTAATATTGTTTATCATTTGATCATAATGCTTTCCTCAGGAACATTGTTTTGGGATTTCCTCAGGTGTAACAATCGCTGGAAGTCAGATCTGGAGAATACGGTGGATGAGGCACCAACTCGAAGCTAAATTCATGCAATTTTGGCGAACTTTCGCGGTGCACTCCATCTGCAACGAGCGGTATACATTTGGAAACAGCTTTCTAACACCCAAATATTCACGCAACATATTTCCGCTCCCCTTTAACATTAATTCCGTGCCAGTTATCTTTTCTAACCATATGTCTTGTTTACCGAATAATTCTCCAGGTTTTTTTAAAGTTCTTATTCGGAATTCCACGTGGACGCTAACATCGTTTAAAATCAGCAAACCACCGCCGAATTCTTGTTTTCAACAGCAGAAGACAACTCTCATGTTATTGGTGGCTTTGAGTGCTATTTTTGCCCAATAAAACGCAACATATAATCAACAGATGAAATTCGGATTTTTCCGTTGTTTTGAAAATACCAAAAGCAACCGCACTAAAACTCTAAACGTCGTCTTTCATGTTTTATAACTAACATGATTTATCGTTTAAAGCGAAATCTATCTGTCCGTTCCGGAACTTATTTGTGGGTACATTATAAATACATCTCCGCACATGTACTTCATAGACTTTTCGGAATAACACTTATATAAATATTGACATATGTAATTATACAGTATTGATATATATAATTATACATTATTGATTACACATTTATACATTACAATTATGCATTATTGATATATATAATTACATGTTTTCAGCTTTATCTTACGTTTTATATTAGTTTGGGGAAAAAGAAATCCATTACTTTTTCGATAGATGGCTGCACTGATAGATTTCTCGTAAAGAATCGATCAAACAATTTCCGATACTGTACATTCACATACTGTACATTTCGCAGTAAAAAAAAATCTTTTGCTGTTTTTTGTTTGGTGCATTCAGTTGTGAGTTACAGCGTGTTAAAAATGGAAGTGAACAAAGAGAAAATTCGGTACATTTTTGACAGTTTTTCCTTGACAAAGGCGAAAATGCAAGCCAGGCGGCTAAAATTGTGAAGGGTGTTTATGGTTCCGATACTCTAACAGCCAATTATGTGCAATTTTGGTTGCGTAGATTCCGTTCAGGAATTTTTGATGTTAAAGATGCACCTCGCACAGGTAGGCCGGTCGTCGAAAATGTCGATAAAATCGGATAAATGATCGAAGTTAACCGGCATGTTAGCAGTCGTAACATCGCCCACGAGCTAAAAATCGGCTATAAAACAGTTTTAAACCATTTACACAAAGCTGGATTCAAAAATAAGCTCGATGTTTGGGTGCCACATCAATTAACAGAAAAAAACATGATGGATCGAATTTCCCTCTGCGAAGCCTTGGCCAAACGGAATGAGATAGACCCATTTCTTAAACGGATGGTGACTGGAGATGAGAAATGGATCACATACGATAACGCTGTGCGAAGACGATCGTGGTCAAAGAGCGGTGAAGCACCTCAAACGGCCAGGAAGGTTTTGATATGCATTTGGTGGGACTGGAAGGGGATTATTTATTATGAGTTGCTTCCATATGGCCAAACGCAAAATTCTGATCTCTACTGTCAACAACTGGACCGTTTGAAGATAGCGATTGACCAGAAACGGCCAGAATTGGCCAACAGAAGAGGTGTCGTTTTCCACCACGACAACGCTAGGCCACACACATCTTCAGTGACTCGCAAGAAACTTCGGGAGCTTGGTTGGGAAGTTTTAATGCATCCGCCATAGAGTCCGGACTTGGCACGAAGCGATTATCATCTTTTTCTTGCATTGCAAAATTTCTTTAATGATAAAAAATTGGAATCTAGGGAGGATTGTGAAAATGGACTACTAGAGTTTTTTGCAAATAGAGACCAGGACTTCTATGAGAGAGGCATTTTGAAGTTACCTTTAAAATGGCAACAAATCATACAACAAAACGGTGCATATTTGACCCAAATCGGACAATCCGAAGCATGTTAAATAAAGTCCGGAAGTTCATATAAAAATAATGGATTTCTTTTTCCCCAAACTAATATACAAATTCATTTATTCTAATGGCATCTCAAGCAATTAGCAATAGCTTTATCAATTTATGTACATAGCTAAATAATCATTACTACTGGGTTGAAATTTCTTTACATTGAAAATATGGAAGAAACTTGAAGAATTGAAAATTGAAAATTAGGTTGAAAGTATTTTCAAAGAAGCAAACGCTTTGACAGCAAACTGAGAGTGCATGATGAAATTTTTAATATTCGAAATCAATTCAAATTCAGCCATAGGATTCGAAATCTTGTCGTTTTCATTAAGAGATAAAGTGCGAGACGTGCAATTCTGCCTTTGACAAATTGTATATAGCACGTTCGGCGAGCTGCTCACGAAAAAATGCTAGAATATGGAAGGCCAGTTTCGTGAGCCTGAAATAGTGATGAAAACTAATAACAAAAACCATGAGTGTAAAACAGTTTAACACTTGAAATGCGTTTTTCCCAAAACCCATTTTTTCAAAACTGTATACAACACAATTGCTAATTGTTTTTCATTTATTTAAGTTTTTTACACCGTGTATAAAATAAAATTTGAAGGAGAAATGTTTAGAAGATTTGCGAAAAATTAATTGAAACATTGTTAATTACCAATAGAGTTTTCTACCTACCTGAGTTTCTATAAGATATGTGGAGGGAGAACTGAGCACATGGCGTCTTTTTTTTATTCTTTTTAAAAATAGTTTTTTTTACATATGAAAATACGCTTAATAATTTTCTCGAATATAAACATTTGCCTAATGGTTTTCGTGGGTATTATTCTATTGCTTTGGACTTCGTGCACTTTCAAAAAATTAAATAAAAATCCCTTTTTTTTCACTGCTACTTTGGTAAAATGCCTTAAAATGCATTAAATGTATAACCGTATTAAGGAATTGAGCAATAACTGTAAGACTTCTTGTTATTTGGGAACATAGGCAATTGTTTTATCGCAAAGCTGTTAGATAATCGTAAATATATATAAATGGAAATTTGGCTAGAATATTTGGACGCTTTGATTTTTTTTTCATTTAAGACGTCTTTCTCAAAGTTTTGTTTTCCAACTTTAGCGTACCGCTGCTTGCTTTTACTTGAATCCGATTGCTTTCAGATTTCGACTGCAACTGGAAGGTAAAACTGTTTAGTGATTATATAGTTTTGTCGATGTAACTTTAATATCTTATTCAATTCATTTCAAATGTTACAAGTGTTACCAATTGTCATTGGGCGAGTGAACCACAAATCAAAGAAGAAAAAAAAATGAAGGTGAAAACAAACCATATGAGGGACTAAAATAATTTTGACGTCGCGTTCAGAATTATCCTGTTTTTTATATATATCGACGTTTGAATGCGAGATGCTTATAAATTTTTTTTTTTCAAAGGATTGTAGGATACAGCAGCGTACGGTGAATTTCGCAGTCTGAGAAGTGATGGAGTACATGCTTATAGAAGTGTCTTACAAAAGACCTGAAAGTTGCGGTAGTAAAAAGAGTATGAGGAGTAATTCGCTTGGCTGTGAATATTTATATGTGTCGTTTGTATGTTTTAAAAAAGAAAATATGGCAATGTAATCCACTAAATTGTGTCAAAATGTGAAATACGTTGCTGTCATGAAGACCGCATGTAGACAATTTGCTAAGTGTGGAATGGCAAATAGCCTTCCATCGGACAGATAAACAGAATGTGATCAGGAGATTGCAAAATTCCGCATGTACATAAAGGCCTACTCATGACGTTAATGAGGTAAATAACGTCTAGTCTGATACCGGGATTGATAAACCAAGGAGTTCTATTTATATGCGGAAATAAAGAGTATAAATGACGACCATAAGATGGATTATTCCATCGTTATTGCCGTTCATTTTCTTATTCAATTGACATTTGCTGTTTGCGGGATCGATTAACAGGCTATTTAAAACTACAAACTGATTAACTATTTTTTAAAACCATTTTTTAAATTATATTCTTAAGTCGATTTTTCAAAAGAATCGATGGTCACTAAACATTAAGATTATTCTCTGAAAATTTGTAATTTATTGTTTTTGGTTAACAACTGTGATCTGGAATACTACTGTATCAAACAAACGAAAAGAATTGTACAGCGAAAGCTGCCGTGTCCTTTTTTTTCTGAGCTTTCGTATGCAAAAGTTCCCATACTAATAAATTTTTTCATAATTATTTTTGAAGGATGTGACGCATAGTTGCAGTCAAAACCGTTGCAATAACCAAAAGGAGACAGAGCAATACATCATCGTCATCAAAAGCGCTATAACCGAAACAGGAAATGTGCCATCATTTTGCTCGTCATTTGCTTCAGGTACCAGTTAACTGCCTGTCCAACTTTTTTTTATACGTTAATGATTACTTCTTATTATACGCTTAATACATTGGATAGCTATGTAATGGTTTTGCTAAGAAAGGAGAAGGCAAAGTTAGGAAAGCTGAAGGCGGGCACGAGACCGCGATGACTAGTAAACGCACACCAAAGACGTTTTTTACACGGTCTTTGAAATAATACTGTTCGTTAACGAGGTCGAATACATTTTTATAACACGAATTTTTTAGTCTAGCACAAATCCGAAAAAAATTTTGATTTTAGATCGAATTTTGACAATTTCTCACAGAAACTTAGGGCAATAAATTGCAATGCCGGGAATACTGTGATCAGAAGTCAATGAGTTTACACCCACACACGTGTTAGCAAGTTGCTCTGCTGCTACTAGGTCGTTAATAACGAACGAAATTTTTCTTTTAAGTCATGCTCGACGGTCGTCCCAGGTATATCTAATATATTGTTACGAAAATCCCAAATCCAGTTAATTCTAGCTAAGTAATTTTCCCTAAAAATAAATTCCCTAAGGAAGGAAAAATCAAATGCACATTCGCAGGCGCGTCATGCACCTGCAGGCCGATGAAAACGATTAGCGGAAAAGCAGACAGGAATTAAATATAAAAACTATGAATTTGGGTATAGTGACATGTTTGTAAAAATGTAAGCAATTAGAATTTTCGTGGTAGGGAGAGATAGTCGGGCAAGAACATTTGATTTGAGAGTACGGCCAAGATAAATAGTGAATAATCCTACATTTAAGAAATATAGTTGTAAATAAATAATTCTACTATTAAGGAATGACATTGGAAATAGAAGAACTTTGATGGGTATATCTCTTGGCCAAAATATCCGCGATCCAATGATACGAACTGTATCTTAGAAAAGCGAATTTTATAACAATATTGTATTTATCAGGGCTTCCTAGAATGGAAATGCGTAAATGTGATTGAATGTAAATGCCTTTATAAAGATAAAAGAACATCAGGGAAACATGGAAATTATATAAATTACCGAGTCTTTTCAATAAAATAAATTTTTTTCGAATTTTTTTTGTTTACCGCAGGCATGTAAGTTTTCAAATTCAATCAACAAGGATACACTCACCTAAAAATGTAGGTATTGCGCCCATTGGCATTACAAACAAACTAACTAGAAGATCAGCTATGGCCAATGAGAATAAAAAGTAGTTGGTGACATTTTGTAAACGTCGGTCTAAAGCTACTGCCAAGCAGACCAGAATATTTCCCACGCCACCAGCAAATATAAAAAATGTCACAAATAAAAAACTCCAATCGAAGCCTTTAGGAGAATGAGATATAAGGTCATTAGAAATGCTGGTATTAACAAAAGTCACACCGGTTACAAGCGGCAGAAGTAAATTGTCGGAAGACAAATTAATCGTTGAATTTGTTGCAGCTAAATACCAAGAATATGCATTTTCAGTCCATGAGCTCATCATCACCGAGTTGGTGTAGGTGTTCGACAGCACCCGAGACTCTTGTGAATTGATTGATATTGGCGTTGACGATGATAGTGTTGTGGTGTTCAGATTACTTAATGCAGGTAGCCAATCATGAGTTGTGGAGGCCACTGTTTTTGGCAACGACTGTAGAAAGCATTTAATAGTATTTATCACCGTAGATGACGGCTTAGTTGTTAAACTTTGCTCACAAAATAAGCTTATATATTTCCGTCTTGGTTCACATCGAGATTTTGACTGTACTTCGCGTAAATGGCTATTGTTACAGCCGAGAGAATTATAATTTTCAACTTGTTGATAAAACTCTTTACTCATTAAGTTTTTTGCGTCTTTGATATGCAATTGAAAATTTTCCCTCCCTTTGAAAGGATTGTTCATTATAAGTTTCACATTCGTGAAACAATATTGATCCATCGAAGGTAATGACTGCTGAGAATTGTAAGTGATGCTTGAACGTATCCCAGTATCATCTGATCGCAAAATTGTTTCATTATCAGCTTGAAAAAGGAGTTCAGATGAATTTATTTTCGTTTGTTCTAGAATCGTAGTCATTGAATCGTTGAACTTACGGCAATTGTAAAGCTTACTTTTAGAAGTGCTTTCGAAGGTCTTATGTATGCGTAGAAATGTTTGTTTAAAGTTAGTTGGCTGTGCATCCCTACGCACTGGCTTCACTGGAATTTTCGCAGACTCTTCAAATTGCAAAGTTTTGAAGTATATTTGATTTATTTGTCGGCCATCTGATTGTTGCTTCATGTTAGAAATCCAATCATTTTCCCTTCCTTCTCCTGAATGCCACCATTTGCATTCGTTAACATTATTCGTACAGTAACTTTTGCACAAGAGTTCGCTTCTTTCTGAAGCTGGAATTGTCGCACAAATTGTTGTTGACGTTCGTCCCATAACCCGCTTTTCGTTCAAGTCCATTTTATTCTAATCCTGATGGTCAGATAATAACTTTTTTTTAACTCTTAAACTCTTTTTGTTTTCTGCTTTGGGCGGAAATTTGGTTTCCTTATTTTATAAAGGGGATCTTAAGGCGCAGTTGCTCGTTGTGCTGGTCATGACCGTGAGTGTCTATAAGAAATAAATATTTGAAGAAATATATTACTCTTGGATAGGTACCGTCCAACATAAATATACGAAAGTTGCTGAAAGTTGTTGAAAGTTTATTTATTATTTTTTTATTAGTCAATTAAATTCCGCGAACAAATCATTAGGCGAATGTAAGCCACAAAATAACTTAAAATGTAGAAAACAAAAAAAATATATAGATAAATTAAGATAAAGGGATATATATTGATGAATGAATATGGGCTTATAGTATAGTGGCAAATGAGAAACAAAATCAAATATAAAGACATATTTTGATTCCATTTACGTGTATTGTATAGGAATCGAAAATATTTAGCAGTTAGTTACGTAATATAATGCTTTTAATCTTATCAATGGAAAAAATGGACATATCCAGATCGCAAAACGTTTTGCACATTCCCCAGTTTAGCAATTCCTTTATAATTCTCAATAAGTTGTCCTTTTATCAAACAAACATTAAAAATGTGTGTAAGGAAAGGACGTAGCAAATCAGAACAATGTTGGAGGATAGCATATCGAACACCATCAATGTCAGGGTAGTTAGAAGGTTTCAAAATTGGCCGCGCTTCTTCTTCAGTGTAGGACATAGGCAGAAATATATCAAAAGAACTTATCGAAAACTGGTAATTACCAGGCGAAATATTTGGACATAGGTAGATTTCACAAAAATAATCCGCAAGAAGTCAGTAATTACAGACTCGTCGGATGATTCGAAATTTTCAAAGCTCATAACGGAACGTAATCCTACTTTTCGTTTAGTATTTACGAATTTAGTGAAGTCTTTACGATTCTTAAGAAGTTTGCCTCTTGTTGCATTAATAAAATTGAAGAAGTAGTTGCTTTCAGGTAACTATAATCTAGCCTAGTGCTAGAGTATAACATATGATAGCTACTCGAACCAATACGGCAACTCTTTCTAAATAGTCTACTTTTTTATTAGCCACCATCCGTTAACACTTGCTATGTCAACTAGAAGAAACCGAGGTGTTACAATTTCATATGTTTTCTTTTCGATTCGTTATTTTGTGTCTACCTTTGTGTCTAGCATTGATCTGCGAACAATTTCATATGTTTTCTTTTCGATTCGATATTTTGTGTCTGCCTTTGTGTCTTTTGTGTCTATTTTTGCGTCTAGATTTGATTTGCGAACAGTTTCATATGTTTTCTTTTCGATTCGCTATTTTCTGTTTACCTTTCGCTAATTTTGTCCGATTTTAAGACTAAATTAAAAGCCCACATAAGTAGTATATATATGGGGGAACGTCGACGCGAATTTTAGCCCGCAACAAAGAAGGGCTTTTTTTTTTTTTTTTTTTGCTCATCGAAATTTTTCGGCCTTTCCATATAGTAGTATATATATGGGGGAATAATGTCCGCACACTTCCCCGCTCAAAACGCCACACATGCCCGGATCCACACACACGCACACACACAACACCATCTCTCACGTCTACTACATATTCCACATGACACTCCACTTACCCTCACAAGACGAATTCCAACGCCAACGATCACATTTCATAATGTCCCTCCCTCTCCGATTACACTCCCCCATATGACGTAAACAAACACTTATCTCCCATAAATCTTACCTCCATTACACACATCCTCCTACACAAACGAAAAACCTATCCTCCACATGAATTATTTATTATTCCCTTCACAAACGTACATGAAAAAAGAAGCACGATCGTGCATGCACATGTCTACACATTCACACAAACACTTCTTTTCATTACACGCATCTTAATGACCAAACCAAAACACGATTTCTTCAAGAACACACATTACTTACGATTCCGATAATAAAAAAATATCACAAAAGAAACACGATCGTGCATGCATGCCTCTACAAAAATTCCCACGAACACATCTCTTCATTACACATATCTTAATCACCAAGCCAAAAAGGATTCTTTCAAGGACGTACTTTATTTACGATTCCGATAACAAAAAAAAAAGTGTATATATAAAAAAAGGGACACGGTCGTCCATACACATGTCTACATAAATTTCCACGAAGAAAAAAATTAAGTGCACTCTTGGTGATGCGACTATTTCACCATATCGCATTTCAGAACACTTACACGTCTCATGATCCTTCCTCATTTATATTTTTTATTATCACTATTTCCATTAGTATAAATACCCCGCTGAGAATGGAAAACGAACTAGTATTATGGTGCATTATAAATGATAAAAAGAAAAAGGTCAAACGGTATTTATGACCACACTTCAAAGTATTTATAGAGAAAAATAAAAGACAGATGGAATTTTACAGATAACGCTTGAAGGTAAGTTCACCAACATTTCTATCCTATATAAGCAGAGTTTTCTCTTTAGTTACTTTCAAAAATACTAAAACCAGCAAATCGGTTAGTGAGTTAATTACTTTAAATAAGAATAGAAAAAATTAACATGGAACCGAGGAACAACAATAGCATATCACCATTATTATCATCAATATTATCAACGGAATACGAGAATCAATCTACTGCGGAAATGATGATGACTGAAAATTACAATTCTCAGATGACATTGGACTCAGTAATGTTTTTACCGTCACAAACTTCAGAGATTATTTCACTTTCTGATGATAATGAGGACCATCTGGAAATTTTTGTATCAACACAAGCTAGTACATATAATCCAATCTCGTCTCTTCAAGTTGCTCAAATTTCTGAAGGGTCGGAGTTTAATTGGGCAACCGTCTCCCAATCAATTTTCATGGCGAATAATGAAATGGACCAATTCCTTCAAAGCGAGACTCCGAATTACGACCTCAGATATCAAACTGAAACACTTTCCGATCCAATTGAAAGCTATGATCATTATTTCAATGATAGCTTCAATGACCAACTCTTAAATATTAATACACCTACAGTTACGGACTACAACAGACTTTTAGACGATAGTTTCAATAATGAAATTTCTAACATTAATTTGGATAGTTTACTACAATAAAGTATTAAACAAATAAATAATAATTAAACTTATGTTTTATTTTTATTCTTCTAATAACTACAGCCAATGTGACCAGAAATCTATAAAAATAAATTATAGACTGAATTTTAGTTAGTAGCTTCAAACTCGTGATTGAAAAAAGAACTAAAACATCAATACAACAAAAGCCATGGTAAGAAACAAGAAACAAAAGAAATATATTTCATATAATCGTTCTAAAAATTTTATAATTTTTTTAAATGTTTTTAATAGACCTTTCTGCAGACTCTGAATGACGCATGGAAAACATCAGGACAAGGATACGCAAAGGTAAATGAGTTATCAACTGATGCATCTTATAAAATAGTCGGATGTAAGGCAAAAGCAACACAATATGGAGAAAAGATTGCCCTTTATTTGGGATCACCAGAGGGAAAGTTACTCTGGATATTTCTTCCGAAGTGTCTTAGTCAAGTATTCCCATCCAAGAATCCGTATAAAAAGTTAAAGGAAAATAATATCCAACATATTATCTTTCGGGGAAGAGACAAATCTATAGCTAATGCCCCTATTTTTGAGTTTATTCCAAATGAAAATAAAGAATTTGATATCTAAAATGAAATTTTAATTTATTTTATTAAAAACTCTTTTTTACATAGTTTGAGTATTTTCTTATCATCAAAGCTGCAGTCAGCTTTGAGATAAGCAGTTTAACTCTTTCATTGACTCTTATATAAGCTATAAAGCATAATTTCCGCAAGTGTTTGAAGAGTATTCTTGGAGTTGCTGCTTGTTATATACATAGGTATCGCAGTTTCTATTTAAAAAATTGGAAAATTTTTTTTTCTATGGTCTTTGAACACATGAACCAAAATATTACGGTCCTGATTTTGACTTAAAGCAAAATCAGCCCAATGTTCTCTAGGTTGATTAGAGTAGTCTTTATTTGTTATTATAAAAGCAGATTTAGAACTCACTTTCGATGATAAATTATTAGCTGGGAAAACACCTTGAAAATACTTCTTTGCGGAGAGATTTGCCTTGAGTGCTTTATGTATTTGTATCGTATTCATTTTGAAGCTTAATTTTCACAATTTTCTTTTTATCTATCTCTAACATCGAATGCTACCCGCAGTAAACTTTGCAAATTACGGCTAATGATAATGGCCGAGCAAATTTGCCTTCAAGGCGTATGTTTCCTTGTCTTAAAATGTTAGTACACAAATCGTTATTGCAATGATCACTGGAGATGTCAAACGCTAGTATAAAACAGCTATCATCAAAACGTTTCTGCAAGATGAGTGAGCGATCCCAGCTGATTGAAATGGCATGCTTTAAGCTCTGTTTGATCTTCATTTTTCTGCGGAGTAATTGAATTCGAGTCGTTGAGCAGAAATTTGAACACCATTGGCTGAAAAATTAAACCTTCGCAAATAAAAATGCTTGAACTTGAAGGGATCGTTGTTCGAGCGGGTGAATAAGCGCTATTGTAAACCACACAGAAGCAAAAAATTTTGTAAGTTATCCTATGACGACATTACCTAACGATAGGATATGGTTTTCAGGATAGAGAGTAAATGTTTTAACTTTTACTTTGTTAAATGTATGTGAAGCTATTTTTGTTTTTTAAATTTTATGACGAGCAACCAGTATACCAAGATTAATGGGAATGTAATTGATAAACAATTGTGCTTCCAACATATTAAGCTGCTTTTCCTAAGTAGGATTTTGCATCAAATAAAATGATGATTTTTCCAAATTAAATATAGTACGCAAATCAACATTATTAAGCAAGAGTTTAGGCTAATTAACAATATCTGCCTGCAGCTTTCCGAACAATTAAACTTTGTTACTCTTATCAAACAATTCGGTTAATTGTTTTTTACCATCATGAAATATTTCGCCGGTGTAGTAATCTGGATACCATCCAGAACATGATAAATGAGTTCGACCTGCATCAGTGCCATAATTGAGTAGAGTTTGTATGTATGATCTGTAGTGATAATTGTTGTCACTTTGCGAAACCAATACGTTATTTA